TTTGAAAGTAATGGAAGACCCTGGTCACAGACCACAGAGCGTAATAATCCGTCCTTGAGGGTGCACTTTCTCTCATAGATCCCTCACTCTTTGGTTTTATATATCAGGGAAAGTAAAAAAAAGTATTGATACTAGGGTTCTAGTTCATGTACACTTGGGTTTATTCCAAGTAAAATGTCTGTAGACAAATTTCTGAGGTCAATAGATGGCTGCAGACAAATTCTCTCATTAGAGTGCCTTCCAAAAAAGGAAACTTTCTGTGCCACTCCTATTTATGATTTGTGTTCAGAGCTAATATAAGTTTTTAATGTATTAACTGGAATCCTAGTAGCAAAACTTTTTTACTTACCCTTGTGCATGTGTCTGTTGTTACAGAGAAGCAAGAAGAGACAATTTTCTAGAGTTTGCACATTCCCTCAACTAGATGGCTGAGAGAAAAATGAACTGCTTAGGATGAATGCAGTGTAGTTTCCTCTAGTTTTCTGAAGTCTGTGTCATGTGTTATCAATACATAATAGAAAAAAGGAACCTATGTCTCATAGCAAAGTTCTGTGAAAAGACAGAGAAATAGTTACACTGGGTAGATGGAGGTATACAGTTTTGAGAATTTTGAAGGGCTTACAGAATTTTGTTAAATCTAAGTCATGGCTTTAGTATCAAACAACCAATAAACAATAGGGCCCCCAACCCCTGCCTACATTTCCACATTGCCAAGTCTCTGCTGCCTCCTGTCTTCACCCCTATCTATGTCTGTGAGTCCTCCACTGCCTTCTGGTTTCATAACTCCTTCTCTGATGGTAAGACCTTCACAGACCACCTTCACTCAGTTCCCTTGCTACTTATGAGCTGTGTGACTTGGTAACACTATCTGTTCTGTAACGTGAGTTTCAAATCTCTAAAATAAGGATAATATAACATCTAAGTCAGAGTGACAATGAGATTCACTATCCCTCACAGAAGAGAGGACCATGTATAGGGCTTTTCTTAAGCATCTTACAGTCTTGCAATCTTCTGTCCTGACAATTCTAGGGTAAAGCCCTACTACGTTTTCTGTACCCTTAACTTAGTGCTTCTCAAACTTTTCCACTGACATCTCTCTAACCCAGGAAAAAGACAAACAGACAACTATAGCAGTTTGGGAAGCATTGGGGATTACAATCAAGAGCAACTTGCAGCATTTAAATTAAAGTTTCCCATTTATCATTAAAGTTCCACTCTGATTTCTTATTTTACCCCAGTATATCAAAATTATTTTAGATAACAGTTAATTGACCTTCTATTCTGTTCAATGACATTTTCATTCATCTTTCATTGAATTTTTACATTATCTTATCAACTGAAAAAAGTTTGTAGTTGTCAAGGACTTTATTCTTCTAGAATCAATTATCAACACTCATGGAAGCAGCAGTCAAGAGATCAGACAACGTATTGCATTAGGCAAATCTGCTGCACAAGAACTTTTTAAAGTGTTGAAGAGCAAAGATATCAGCTTGAGAACTAAGGTGTGCCTGACCCAAACCATGGTATTTTCAATAACCTCACATGCATGCAAAAGCTGGACAGTGAATAAGGAAGACTGTAGAAGAATTGATGCTTTTGAGTTATGGTGTTGGAGGAGAATATTGAAAGTGCCATGGGTTGCCAAAAGAACCAACAGATCTGTTTTGGAAGAAGTGCAGCCAGTGTCCCTTGAAGACCAGGATGACCAAACTTCGTGTCTCATACTTTGGGCATATTGTCAGGAGGGACCAGTTGCTGGAGAAAGATATCATGTTTGGTAAGGTGGAGGATCAGAAAAAAAGAGGAAGACCCCCAGTGAGATGGATTGGCCAAGCAGCAGCATTGATGGACTCAAGCATGGCAACAATAGTGAGGTTGTCCCAAGATTGGGCAGTGTTTCATCCTGTTGTACATAGGGTAGCTATGATTTGGTATTAACTCGATGGCACTTAACAACAATAACATACCCTTTCCTCACATACTGCCATGGTTAGGTTCCAAAGACCAGGTCATTATGCAAAAAATGGTGTTACATAAAAATAGAGGAGGATCACATCAGATCACAAAGTAGAGTATAGCTATATACTTTCCTAGCCGTCAAATCACTGATATTCAAGGCCCATAATGTTCACCATCACAGTCAGCATTCTCTTACCTCCCAACTCTATGTTCATTACTGCCAGATGCATGTCATTAATATGCAAAATAGTCAGACAGTAGATTTTTTACTATTGTTGTAAATGTGAAATGTCAGAAAATGAGATAGTTGATAAGTGAAGAGTAGGTGTATTCACAAAATTTATCCGGAACCCTTGAAACTCTTCAAAGTATAGTCAGTTTCCTTTATGTTTTCTCACTGAAGCAATAGCTGTCATCTAACATCCTTTAATTGATCTCCCAATTCAGCAAGTTAATACTTATTTCTATTGTTTCTCTTCCAATTCCATAAAGGTAGCTGCATTCATTTTCTAGGGCAACCAAAGCAAATTATTATAAACTTGGTGACTTGAAGCAACAGAAATTTACTCTCTCACAATTCTGGAGGTCAAAAGTCTGAAATCATGGTGTTGGCAGTACCACACTCTCTTTGAAGACTTTACAGAGTATTCTTCCTCTCCACTTCCAACTTTTGGAGACTCCTGGTATTCTTTGGTTTATGGTGCAAAGCACACTCTTCTTAGGGCCTGCTTTTCTATGTCTCCCTATGTTCTCTTTTTATAAAAACACTGGTGATGGTTGACGGTGGTTATGTGCCATTGAGTCCATTCCAACTCATAGTGACTCCATATAGTGTTTCCAAGGCTGTAAATCTTTATGGGAGCAAAAAGCCTCACCCCTCTTTCTGAGAAATAGCTGATAGTTTCGAACTGCTGACCTTGAGGAGAGCAGTCTGACTTGTAACCACTACGCTACTAGACACTAGTCATTGGATTTAGGATCCACAATTATACAATATGATCTTATCTCAATCCTTAACTAATTACAAGGTGACTTCAAAATGTTCATGGAAAAATTCCATTATCTTTTTTTTTTAATGTTTTATTGTGAATTATGTGATAATTTACATGGGAGAACATTAGTTTTACATTCATTCTATTGTATATCGTCTCATTGCCATGGTTACAATCCCCTCCATGCAATCCTTCCCCCATGCCCCCCAGGTCTTCAGCACACAGTCACTCTCCCTCTCTGGATCTAAAGTCTCCAGCTGCTCCATTGCTCCACGTCATCATCTCTGGCTCCATTTCAGGCATCACTGCTTCTCTGGGTAGGGTCCCGCTCTCTGCTCTTCTCCCTTGATGGTCCCAGGGACCCAGTCCTAGATTGAAAAGTTAATCACTCCCCTCCTTGCTATAAAACGTCTACCTTTACATTTCCACCCCTCACAATCAGTCCTGATAACAATTGTTCACTATTGTATCACAAGTGACCTGTCTGTATTTCACTGCATCAGCCCCGCCTAGACAGCATTATCTTTTAGTTCCATTTTTACCATAAACTTTTTGAAGCCCCTTAATACCTGTGCAAAGACCCTATTTCCAAATGAGGTCACATTCTGAGGTTCCAGGTCAACACGAATTTTTCAAGGACATTTTTTAACCCACAATAGTAGCCTTTCTCCATTTTAAATGTAATCTCCCTGAGTTCTCTAACCTTTACAGCCTTGTGTACTGCTAGCGCTTTCTTTCATATTCTGCTTCTTCTCTGAATTGCATTCTTCCTTTTAGCCTACAAGCATTTTCTTCTTAAACTCCCTAAGTAAATTTGCTAAAATGTTCTGCCTCACTCATCAACCGCCATCTTGCCTCTTACCTTTTTTTAACTTAGTGTTTCAAGAATTCCACAAGCCATATTCATTACTTGACTTATTGACACCTGGCTTCAGTCCTTTGACCCTGCTGAAACTAAACTCTTAAAAGGCACTAATAGTTTCCTATTAAAAACGTTTTCTATAGACCTACATACTTGATGATTTCTCTGTAGCATTTATGAACGCCCACTTAAAATGTTCCTTCATGAGCCTCTTGGATCCTGTTCTTTCATCTGCCAAATCTCTTTGATCAGTTTATAAACCATACCAAATATTTATTGAGGGTTTACTATTTAGCAGGTTCTATTGAGTCCTGGTGTGGCGCTGTGGGTTAATGTGACAGACTGCAAAGCAGTTTGAACTGCAAGGTCAGCGGTTCAAGCTCACCAGCTGCTCCTTGGAAACCCTAGACAGGGTCACTATGGGTCAGAACTGACTCGACGGCACTTAACAACAACAACAATGCTAAAAATAAAGAGTTCTGGTGGTACAATTGGTTAATCATTGGGCTGCCAACCCAAAGTTCAGCAGTTTGAACCACCAGCCACTGAGAGAAAGGTGAGGGGTCTGCTTCTGGAAATATTTATCACCCCAGAAATGCTGTAGAGCAGGTCCACCTACTCTATTGTGTGAGTTGGAAAAACATGGGTGTTTTTTGCTGCTAAAATCTAGAGCTATAATAGCAAAAAGATATAGAGAGACTCCATCTCTTCTTTAACAGAGCCTATAGTCTAATAAGGATTATCTTTTATTAAACCTTGCCTTCATCCTAAATGTGGATTCCCCAATGCTCTGTCCTGTGTCTCCCTCTGTCCTTTCAATCAGATGCACAAATCCGTGCCTCTAGGCTTGGCTTGGCTTGGCTTGGTCCTAACTATCGGGTGACTTGTTTGGTGTCTACCTGGACTCATCATTGTTTTTGTTAAGTGCTGTGAAGTCAGTTCTGATTCATAGTGACCCTGTTTAGAGTTTCTGAGGAGAGGCTGGTGAGTTTGAACCACTGGCCTTGTAATGAAACCTACCTGAGGTCCAGTCCTTATCCTATAGCATCACACCAGGATTCCAGACTCATGATTGGATTCACAAATTCCACATGTTTAAAACTATGCTTAACTTTTCCATCAAACTGTGACATATGGATCAATCTATTTGTAGTCCAATTCTACCCATCCAGTTAGTAGATGAGATCTCAAACATCAACAATTTTGACAATAGTTCCTTGGCCTCTTGTTAATTCCACATCTGCAGGACCTCCTTTCCTAAATTTCATACAATAATAGGTTCCATTATTTGACCAGTTGGCCTGCAGTATTCTGATGGAAAAATCCTTGTTATTGGCCTTGGAAGTATCACTCACTGGGACTACGTCATTTCTGTTCATGTCCTTAAAAGTATAAAATATTTTCTCTACTCCATCCTGTTCTTTATACCAATGAACAGGTCCTATTGGATGGAGGTCACTAGCCAAGCAAGTCGGTGTAAATAAACTGCCAATCCTGACGGTGAGCAGTTTCTTGGTTTGGGGTAAAGTGGGAACAAAGGGAAGTTTAAGGTCATTTGAGGTGGTAGTTCTGGAACAGACAGTAAGCAGCATCCTGGTCATCAGCAACCAGGCTCTGATCAGCATACTGGGCAATCTCAACTTACATTCTAAAAATTAAAAAGGAGGAAAGAAAAGGGGAAGTTTAGTGTTGCTTCTTAAATACACATATAAAATCTTCTAAAGGTTCAGGTGTAGAGAAGACCAGCCGACTTTTCTTCATATTCAGGAGATTCTGCCTCCTGAATACACCCAGCATTGTGCTCCAGCTAAGTTAAGAGATAAAGGGGTGATTAGCAGCTCCTCAGAGGGTCCTTCACATTGTACTTTAGTTGGTCTCCCAGTTGTGGAATTTTTCAAATTTTAAGGAGGAGTCTATCACCTCATTCAGAACTATACACAGGATATCTAAAGGGAAAGACAAGCAGCTAGAAGAATATCAATTGAAGATTTGATTTTCTAAGGATCTTAGTTATTTCCTTTGTATTAATTCAATGTTTAGCACTAGGTTGAAGCTCCTCTCCCCAGTTCTCTAAAGGAACGATCTCTCATATGCCATTTCATGGGGATTCAATTTGAGTCTGCTTCTAGGGGCAACTCTAATTCTGAGCAGGGCACAAGGAAGCACCTATTCCCAAATTAGATTAAGATTAGTCTCTTGGCAAAGTTTTGATTGGGTCTTCTTTAGACTGGTTCATCTTCTCAGTTTTCCCAGTCAATCAGGATATTCAAGAGATATGTGTGCCTGTTCCATTCTATGTCTAATGCCTTATTACACCGTGCATTACTGTGGTCACAGAAGCACTACCGTTATCACTTGGGATGGAAAGGGGTACTCTGAACCTTGGAATGTTGCTGTTGTTAAGTGCTATGGAGTTGGTTCTGACTCATACCGGGTTTCTGAGGCTTAAATATTTGAGGGAGCAGACAGCCTTGTCATTCTCCCATGGAGTGACTGGTGGCTTGGATCACAGACTTAGTGGTTCATAGTCCAGTGCTTAGCATATGGAAAGGACCTTGGAGACTTCAGAAGTTGTTTCAGTCATACAAGAATAGATTCCACTCACCCAAGTGTCCTCAAACACCAAAAGGTATTTGAATTTCCCATCAGATTTGGGTATGACTATGAAACAATTTAGTCTTCTCCTAGTTTGAGTCCTTATGTCTATGTTGTTGTTGTTGTTAAGTGCCATCGAGTCAGGCCCATGGTGATCCTGTATAGGGTTTCCAAGGAGCATCTGGTGAGCTTGAACCACCAACCTTGTGGTTCGAACGGCTTTGCAGTCTGGAACAGGCTTTGCAGCACCACACCAGGAGTCCCCCTATGTCTATATTGTTGTTGTTAGGTGCCATCGAGTCGATTCCGACCCATAGCGACCCTGTGTAGGGTTTCTGAGGAGCGACTGGTGAGCTTGAACTGCTGACCTTGCAGTTCAAACAGCTTTGCAGTCTGGCGCATTAACCCATAGTGCCACACCACGAGGGGCTTATTAAGACAGATTGGGCACTCCTGGATGATATGTTGGATAATTCATGTAAAATTTGACCTGGTGAAATTGTTTCAGAGCAGGGTTAGAGTTGCATCACTTTCAAAATGAGTGCTCTGGTGGAAGGCTGTGATCACTTCAGTTACTAACAGTTGCTTTAGTAAGAAGATTATCCCCATGAAATGAGTCTATCCCTTGCTTGTTGTTTGGAGTTCTTCTATTTCACCTTCATCTTCTTGTTATGTGCCGCGGAGTCAGTTCCGACTCATAGCAACCCTGTACAGGGTTTCCAAGGCTGTATATCTTTACGGGAACAGAAAGCCTCATCTTTCTCCCACCTAACAGCTGGTAGTTTCAACTACTGACCGTGAGAATAGCAGCCTGATTCGTAACCACTACACTATCAGAGCTCCTTTCTATTTCACCTAGCAAGTTTTAAATCCCCAGTCAGCTGCTGTCTTGATATCTCTAGCCCAAGGTTGGGGTTAGAGGCAGGACCTGCAAGAATGGGAGCTGGGTCACTACTTTGGTGGTTTTGTCAGTGCAACTGTTTCCTTCAGCTTCTGTGGTGTTATTCTTCTGATGGCTCCTGGGTGGCCTCAATAGTTTTAATATTTCTGAGACATGTTTTATCTCATGCTGAGTCAGTCTGAGTATACTTCCTCATTTCTGAATATCCCTATATGCATGCAAGACAGCTGGGAAAGAGGGCCCTTATTAGGGTTTTGAGCTCTGCTTTTTTTGTGGCGGTGCCCAGGGATAACACCACTACTTCAAGCATCTCTGCTAGTGTTACCACCCCATACTCTGCTCAATGCTCCCCATGATCCATGAAGATATCGGTGCTGGACTATCACTACAATCATGAAGGTAAACATTCCAACTTCTTGCAAGAGTTCATAAATGGCTGCACTCAGGCAGGCTAGCCATCAGTTTACCATCCCATCCAACAGTTTTGAAAGGTAAGCTATAGGCCTTTTGGATCCCACAGCATGATTTACTCCCAGCAAGTCTGGGTGAGCACTCTCCTAACCATGTACACAAAGATCAAAGGGCTTCCTTAAATAGGTCAGTTCTAAAGTGAGGACTACCATTAACTTACCCTTGAGCTCATTAAAGGCTTCTTGGTATTGTAAAGCCCATTTCAGGGGAGCCATTCCCTCCCAACTTAGAGCCTTATAAAGAGGTTTTACTATGAGTCCAAAACTAGGTATGCAAAACGTGGCCATCCTGAGAAATTTTCTTTGTTATTCCAAGAGCCTGGGTTTCGGTCATGCATCTTGTTAGCCTCTTCCTGACTTGCTCTAAAACCACCTACCCTTTCTTGTCAGTGATCAAGGTCTGAAGTAGAAAAGGGGGTGTGACTAGACAGGGGGTTGGTTACCAGGCCCTCCCTCCGAATCAGTGCCCATGGGGACCAACCTTAGCGCAATTGCCTTGTTTGGCCAAATCTTGTACCCTTCCAGGAATGAGATGGGGAGACCATACCTGCTAGAGTGGTTTCTAGAGAACACAATCTCAGTGGTGCAGAAACAGAAACAGGTACAAGTGCTGGAATGGCCACAGCAGGGGTTCCATAATATGGGGCACAACAGAGTCCTCCCCACCAGCCCCAGAGTCTCACAAGAAGTCCGTAAGAGTCCATTAGCCTCCTTAGAGGAGCTAAGAACCAACTTAGCTTTTTTCTGGCTTTGTCTGTTGGAACAAAATGTTACATCTCTTTTGAAGAACTTTGTTCTGGCACAATGACATAAACGCCTCATTCTTTTTTCTTTTTTTAATGTTTTATTGTGAATTATGTGATAGTTTACATGGGAGAACATTAGTTTTACATTCATCCTATCATATATTGTTACATTGCCATAATTACAATCCCCTCCATGCATCATCAACCAACCAAAGAGTATATACTACAAGCCTGCCCCTGGGTCGTCAACACACAGCCCTCTCCTTCTCTGTGTCCAAAGTCCCCAACTGCTCCATCTCTCCACATCATCATCTCTGCCTCCATCCCTGGCATCACTGCTTCTCTGGGTAGGGTCCCGCTCTCTGCTCTTCTCCCTTGATGGTCCCAGGGATCTCCACGCCTAGATTGAAAACTTAATTACTCCCCTCCTTGCTACAAAATGTCTACCTTTACAGTTCCAACCCTCACAATCGTCTTGATAACAATTATTCACTACCATCCGCATTTCATTTCATCAGCCCTGCCTAGACAGATTGTATACTACTCAGTGGGGATTCTACCTTCCTTCACAACCTCTAAATCTAGGCTCCCTCTTGAAAGCTTGTAAGCCAGTCACTTCTTGCCTTTTCAGCATCCCCCATTTTGGGTAGCCAATGTCCAAGTTGCCCATCCCTGTCTACTCAGTGTATGGAGGGGTGGAATGATGCTTGCTGTAAGGATTTGTTCCCTCTTTTGAGCTACTGCATCCATAGGTGTAGGTCAAGTTCATCAAATTGTATCAGATTACTCTTTTTTTTTTCCTCTTCTTTCTTCTTCTGGTTGAGCTCTGATCATCCAGTCATTGAAGCCAGGTCAAGTGGGTATTATCTGCAAGTGTGGGTGTTCTTGTGCATATGCCCTCTCTTCTTATCATCTGGACGCTTCATTCTCCACTCTAGTCCTCTGTGGCTATGTCACTGAGTCTGGGCCCAAGAGTCCCCAGGTTTTGCCACACTGCTGGCCAACCTGGTCTCCACCCGGGTTCACAGGAGTATATTGAACAGGTAGGGCTCAGCTTGCAGCTTCATTGCTGTATTTCCCTCACTTCCCCTTATCAGTGACGAGCGTGGTCACCAATCAGAGCGTGTATTCCCACTGAGTCTTAATCTTGGAAGGCGGTTTACACCGAGGGGACCCGACCACTTGCCTTGATGTCTCCTGAATGTATGGAATTTCAGTCTATTTCTCCTGTCTCTTGCAAAATAAATCTAGCTATAAAATGGTCTGGTATAAGCCAAATAACCATTTCTTGGCCAAGTTTCCCCTGAGCCAAGGAAGTATTTGGTTTAGGCATATTCTTTCCCACTCTGGAAATAATAGTTTTACTCTCAAAATTGCCTTTTTCTTAGATAAAACATATTTTGTAATACTTAATATGTTACTTGAAAAGTTTTACTTTTAAAGTTTTTATAAACCTAAACAATGTTGCTGAAAAAGAATATATTTCATCAATGCTTTACAATATTGACTATTTAATGACTCAATGGCACCTTACAAGAACAACAACAACAATCCACAAGAACTTACCTGTTTTAAAACCAAATCAAAGTGAGTGATTACAAGCAAAGAATAAAAAACAGTTTTTCTTAAAACAAAAAAGACCTGAGATTTTTAGCTTGTTCTATGAAAACCCTTAGCAATGACCATCAACTTCATAAAAACAGAGCTTAGACACAGCACACTCTCAGAACAAAGTGAAATAGAAAGATGATACCTCACTTAAAATTCAAATGTGTAAAACATCATATCGCGTAGACATATAGCAACCCCGTTTTGTTTTGTTTTTTAATGCCCATATCCCTTTCTCTCTAGCCCGTAGCTTTACTTAGTCAGTTGTGTGCTGGCTGTGGGTGGGGGTTAAGCTCTGGTACTGTTCTTTGTTGTTTACCCTGTTCACGGAAGAGGTTGTTTAGAATGCCTGTCCTCTCTTTTTAACTAATAAAGCCATAATTAAGTTACAGTAATGGTGGTGGTGGTTGCTTCTGACTCCTGGTGACCCTCTGTAGGGCTTCTGGGGATGTAAACCTTTACAGGAGCAGAAAGCTTCATCTTTGTCCTGTGAAACAACTGGTAGACTCTAACTGCTGACATTGCAGTTAGCAGCCTGGTTTGTAATCTACTATGCTACCAAGGCTCCTCACCTACAATAATAATGCCTTTTCAAAGTGAAAAACTAAATGGGAATTGATTATAAAAGTAACATAAAGCCAAATAAAGTTATTTTTTAAACTTTAGACGGAAATAATTCCAAATACAAATGATTAACCTTATATTTTTGAAGTTTGAAATATGTCATAGAGCAACACTTTATATAAATTTTATATTATATAGATTTTTAAAAGGAACAACTGGTGTGTTTGAACTGGCAATATTTCGGTTAGCAGTCCAGTGCTTATCCTTCAGTGCCACATAAGGAATTCATATTTACAGATGTATGTAGTGAGTGGTTTGCAAATACCAGTGGTTTCACAGGAGAAAGGTGAAGCTTTCTGCTCCCATAAAGATTTCCAGCCTCAGAAACCTTATACAGGGTCACTATGAGTCCGAACCGGCTCCATAGCACATAACCACCACCACCATACATTATGGGGTCCTGGTGTGGCACTGTTGGATAAGCACTAGACCGCAAGGTCAGTTTGAACCACTAGGTTGGTGGTTTGAATTCACCAGTCACTCCCAGAAACCCTATACAGGGTCGTTATGAGTCAAAACTGATTCAAAGGCACTTAACAATAGCAACATATAGATTATATTATATCATTAAGTTGTTAAATATCTGAATTTAAGTTTAGTTAAATTGAGCAGCACTCTCAATTAAACCCATTGGCTTTTGCTCTATTCGATCTAAAATAAACAAAAGTATAACTAAATTTGGTTGTAGTGGTGGCTGTATGCTGTGGAGTTGGTCCCAACTCACAGCAATCCTGTATAGGGTCTTCTCCCATAGGAGAGCTGGTAGATTTAAACTTCTGACCTTGTGGTCAACTGCCCAACTTGTAGCTGTCTATGCTACCAGGGATTCTGACATTATACTCTTTAAATATACCCTTCCGGATGGATAGTTATTGTTGTTAAATGCTGTCGAATTGATTCCAACTCATAGGGACCCGATACAGGGTTTCCAATGAACAGCTAGTGAGTTTGAACCACCAATTTTGCGACTCACAGTCCACTGCTTATCCTACAGCACTACACCAGGACACCTTCACAACCTCAATGAGAGATCTGATGCAACTATTTGGGGCCCACCTGTAATTAGTATCCTTCCTTTTCTGCACAATTTCCACACCTGACTGAAGTTGGTGGCTGCCCACAGTGATCTCAAGGTTAAGAGAATTTTCCTCTTACCTTTCTTCCTGCTTGTGGTTCTAGGGTCCACTCCAGCTACTGCTTCTCTATTTCCTGATTGGTTCTTCTTGTGCCCTACCCCAACTATTCAAATACCTACTCACCTATCTTTCCCTCCTTCCCAGAGACCATTGGATCCTATGGATTATCCTGAAACATAAATGAAGTCTGAAAAAGCTGAAACTCCAAATCCCTGTTTATAGATAAAGAGTTACAAGCAAAAACACAGGACAAACAGACATCTAAGCACCCAAATTACTAAAATGCACAAGACAAGTAAATATTTGAACACCTAATGTGTTAAGATTCCAGCTGTGCTTTCATCATATACTTGCCGTACACACACTCCATTCAAACTCCTATTTGAAGGTAGGAGGGGACCCTAACCATTAGTTCCCTATTTCTACACCTCCCTTTGGCTAAGCATGGATCTCAGGGACAGACAGGGACCACTCCTCAAGGTCTGAAGACTGCACATACACCTTCTTTCGTGATCAATACCTGGGGCACCTCTTGTCCAGGATGCTTCTTGCCCTACTCTGTGTGCACTTGTTCTTATTTGGCTTAAGAAGAAAAAAACAGAGACACAATACTTAATCAAGCTATCAGCTGTCTAGAGGGAATTTGCTGTTTTTCTCCATGCTGGAGACCATGGGAGCTGGAGCAAGAAAGCATCGTCTCCTCCTCACTTCCAGAGGAAAAATAAATTCTTGAATAGCCCCTGGAAGTGAGAAGGAGGAGAACCCCACGCTCTGAGATCCATGTGTCACAGACAGAAGGGGAATCCCGGTTCCAGACCAGCCCACAACATCTGGTGCCAGACAAAACCCAAGGTTCGCCGCCTGCCACAGAAAGAAGACTCTGAGACAGGCTTTGGTTAGGACAAAAGAATCACCTTTTATTGTAATCTCAAGAAGGCAAGGAGACAGGGGAATGTGCCCCAAGGATGGGAACGAAGGCTGTTTTAGGGCTTTCAGAAGGATTCAGGGAATGAACAAATCATCATTCACCAAGGATATGGAAACCTGTCACAAGGCAACGGTGTAGATATAAATCACAAAACTGAGATGATGAATATTATGT